CACACCTGTAGATATTGGTATATTACAAGTCACACCTGTAGGTATTGGTATATTACAAGTCACACCTGTAGGTATTGGTATATTATGATTGTCACACCTGTAGGTATTGGTATATTACAAGTCACACCTGTAGGTTTTGGTATATTACAAGTCACACCTGTAGGTTTTGGTATATTATGATTGTCACACCTGTCTTTTATATTACAAGTCACACCTGTAGATTTTGGTATATTACAAGAGTTACACCTGTAGGTATTGGTATATTACAAGTCACACCTGTAGGTATTGGTATATTATGATTGTCACACCTGTAGGTATTGGTATATTACAAGAGTTACACCTGTAGATATTGGTATATTACAAGTCACACCTGTAGGTATTGGTATATTATGATTGTCACACCTGTAGGTATTGGTATATTACAAGAGTTACACCTGTAGATATTGGTATATTACAAGTTACACCTGTAGGTATTGGTATATTACAAGTCACACCTGTAGATATTGGTATATTACAAGAGTTACACCTGTAGATATTGGAATATTACAAGTCACACCTGTAGGTATTGGTATATTACAAGTCACACCTGTAGGTATTGGTATATTATGATTGTCACACCTGTAGGTATTGGTATATTATGATTGTCACACCTGTAGGTATTGGTATATTATGATTGTCACACCTGTAGGTATTGGTATATTACAAGTCACACCTGTAAATATTGGTATATTACAAGTCACACCTGTAGGTATTGGTATATTACAAGTCACACCTGTAGGTTTTGGTATATTACAAGTCACACCTGTAGGTTTTGGTATATTATGATTGTCACACCTGTATGTATTGGTATATTATGATTGTCACACCTGTAGGTATTGGTATATTATGATTGTCACACCTGTAGGTATTGGTATATTACAAGTCACACCTGTAGGTATTGGTATATTATGATTGTCACACCTGTAGGTAATGGTATATTACAAGTCACACCTGTAGGTATTTGTATATTACAAGTCACACCTGTAGATATTGGTATATTACAAGTTACACCTGTAGGTATTGGTATATTACAAGTCACACCTGTAGGTATTGGTATATTATGATTGTCACACCTGTAAATATTGGTATATTACAAGTCACACCTGTAGATTTTGGTATATTACAAGTGTTACACCTGTAGATATATTACAATGGTCTTTACCTGTGTTAATTTAGTGAGAATGTTGCCATACTGTGATGTCTGATTTGTGTACATTCTGATGTCACCTGTCTGATGGCATGAAGTTAGGATAGCATACATTGTGTTGGGTATGATGTTATGTGTGATTCTCTACATTGTGCTTGGCCTTATAATGTCATTTTTTGACAGAAAACATTGTGTTTGGCCTGATGTCATGTAGCCCTATACATTGTGCGGAGTTTTATGATATCATCTTTGTGTTTGCCTTGATGCCATGTACATAAGTATAAATTGTACAAGGTCAGGTGTCATGTGCAAAAGTATACATTGTACAAGGCCAAGTGTCATGTGTGACAGTATACATTACACAGGGACAGGTGTCATGTGTGACAGTATACATTACACAGGCACAGGTGTTATGTGTGACAGTATACATTACACAGGGACAGGTGTCATGTGTGACATTACACAGGGACAGGTGTCATGTGTGACAGTATACATTACACAGGCACAGGTGTCATGTGTGACAGTGTACATTGTACAGGGACAGGTGTCATGTGCAAAAGTATACATTGTACAAGGAAAGGTGTCATGTGTGACAGTATACATCCCACAGGGACATGTGTCATGTGTGACAGTATACATTACACAGGCACAGGTGTTATGTGTGACAGTATACATTACACAGGGACAGGTGTCATGTGTGATAGTATACATTACACAGGGACAGGTGTCATGTGTGACAGTATACATTACACAGGCACAGGTGTCATGTGTGACAGTGTACATTGTACAGGGACAGGTGTCATGTGCAAAAGTATACATTGTACAAGGAAAGGTGTCATGTGTGACAGTATACATCCCACAGGGACAGGTGTCATGTGTGACAGTATACATTACACAGGGACAGGTGTCATGTGTGACAGTATACATTACACAGGCACAGGTGTTATGTGTGACAGTATACATTACACAGGGACAGGTGTCATGTGTGATAGTATACATTACACAGGGACAGGTGTCATGTGTGACAGTATACATTACACAGGCACAGGTGTCATGTGTGACAGTGTACATTGTACAGGGACAGGTGTCATGTGCAAAAGTATACATCGTACAAGGAAAGGTGTCATGTGTGACAGTATACATTCCACAGGGACAGGTGTCATGTGTGACAGTATACATTACACAGGGACAGGTGTCATGTGTGACAGTATACATTACACAGGGACAGGTGTCATGTGCAAAAGTATACATTGTACAAGGAAAGGTGTCATGTGTGACAGTATAAATTGTATAAGGCTAGGTGTCATGTGTGACAGTATACATTGTGCAGGGACAAGTGTCATGTGTGACATTATACATTGTACTGGGACAGGTGTCATTTGTGACAGTATACATTGTGCAGGGACAGGTGTCATGTGTGACAGTATACATTGTGCAGGGACAGGTGTCATTTGTGACAGTATAAATTGTGCTGGGACAGGTGTCATTTGTGACAGTATAAATTGTGCTGGGACAGGTGTCATTTGCGATGGAACACCTTGTATTGGTCTCATGTCAGGTATTATAGATACGTTTGACTGGGACTGATGTCATTTGTAATATTTGTGCTTGGCTTGTGAATCCAAGTGTAAATGATGTTTTTTTTAGTTTATGTAGGATATTTTGATTGATATAAAACATATTATCAGAAAAAAAGAATTGTATGAAAAAATTATTCACTTTTTTCTGGACTATTTGATATTCACCTGTCTGAGTCTGAATAATTTGTATGTTGATATGATTCTGTGTTATAGCAACTATTGCTATGTGCTCAGTATGAATTAATGATTAGCTACTGCATCCAGTGGTTATGGTGACAAGATAAAATGTTTTATACAAATCAAGAGGTCTTCTTTCAAAGGAGCAGTCACATTAATAATGAAGGAAGTTGGTGAAAGCTGAGTGTGATGAAAAGAGTGCTTCAATATTTACCTGCTCTTTGCTGTCGGGCAACGGCACACCTAGCAATGTAGAGGTAGCTTTGTACTAACATATCATTATAATTCTGACATTTACATAATAATCATATATTGATGAGATATCTTTTCATGGCAATTATTATATGAGAATTGATGTTAATGAAGAAATGCATTACACACAGAATAATAAGGAAGATAACACTGTTCTGTAAAGTGACATGGTAAGGATCAGAGTATCTGACCTGGATCAGGTCTTGGTAGTGTGTAGGAGTGAGGATCAATCAATTAGAATGTCCCAGCTGCCATTACTGTTCCAGAACATTAACACTGTTATGTTTTTACAACTGATGACGTCAGCAAGTTTTGTCATATTTAATACATGTTCTGTACTCTAGAATGAGTCAAATTTAGTGTTTAGCTCACCTGGTGTGGAGGACCGGCGAGTTTATACCATGGCGTGACTTCTGTTGTCTGTCCAGTGTCAAGCGTTCATCAACATTTTACTGAAAATCATTATCAATAATAAACAACTGAAGAGATTTTTACCAAATTTGGTCTGAAGCATCCTTTGAGAAGGGGAACTTAGTTTGTATAAGTATTGGTTCTCGGCCCCAGGGGTCTGAGGTGCTGGGCCTAAAAGGGACATTGGATCCTGTTAAGATATAAGAAGGTTTGTGGTGTCATGAGTGAAATGTTTGTTGATGGGAAGTTCAGTAACTTAATATGAGAAAGTATTGAAGTTATGAAGGTTGTGATGATATTAAACAATGTTTAAAGGATGGGATGGTCTGTAGGTCCCAATGAGAAAGGTTTCAGATTAGAAAGTTCTTATTTGTCTTGATATTCATCATGTCTACCAGAAGACCAGCAAGAAAGTGTGCCTGATGGAAACAGACCTTCAATCTGGTTACTCCCTCAGATCCTCCCCATCACATTGTGAGCAAAATTTGAAAGACATGACATGTGGCAGAATAAAAAATAAATGTGTTTTATTAGAAATATTGGATTTAAAGCACTTGACATGAAGTAAAATGTGGAAATAGCAATTCCTCATACACATTAATACCATTTACACAGGAAGTCGGGCATTAAGGGTCAACTGTGCCAGTTATGGGCTGAAGTCTAGAGGACGACATCTGAAGCCATGACAAAATTGCTCTTCAGTGATAATAATACAAGTTTTCAAAAGTGAAATGTTTCCCAATGGTCCAGTGTTCTGTAACTAAGAGACATCACTTTGGTGACATAACAGGGTCACCTGACAACGGGTCATCTGATTGTCTGAGTGATGTGTCTGTACCAAACTTGCAGGCCAAATGGGAGTCATTCTACATGCAATTTCACAACCATGTTTCAATTGATGTTTTTATGAGATACTTATGTTCACATGTATGGAAGAGGGAATGTGTCTCTTTCATTACCAGGTTGTGTGGAGAGCATCGATATAAATTTGAGTTTATCTGTTTATCAGTATATATTGTGATTGTATGATGCTGTAGTTGTTTTATCACTGAATTTCATCAGATTGTATTTACTGCCAGTGTGAGTTCACTTTAGGAAACCAATAGAATGGTATAGAATTATGTCATTACCATATTGTATCTGACAATAAGCTCATGCATGATGTGCTTATAGCTGTGATTAGTAGAATGGCTCCACTTCAAAGATATGGGCGCCCTATAGTAATCAGGTTGTTTGTCCGTCTGACTGTCTGTTTATTTGTTTATTATTGTTCAGTATTATTGGGCCAATTGCACCTAAACATTTCCCACTGTTTCTTTTAAGGAAATGTTGGGGTGGAAGTGATCTTTTGATCCTGAGGTCAAAGGTCAAGATCATTATTACTATAAATAGAAATGAGTTTCAGCTCAGTGTGGATGAATACACTCAGACTTAATCGATGTCTCTTCATGAAAAGTGTTTTCTCTCAACTGCTTCTCATGCTTAGAGGTCAGAGGTCAAACTCACCATTAATATAAAAAGAAATGGGAATATGCAATAAAAAAATGTATATCAGAATGTTACTGGTAAATATTTACTCAAAACAAAATGAAGCAAGGCCACCTGTTGGAAGGTCAAGGTCATATTTTATTGGTAGATGTTTTGTCAGAGTAAAATGAAGCATTATCTGAAATCAAATGAGATGTCCACCGACCACAAGCCAAAAGATCAGGTCAAAGTCAAATACTTAGCAGACAAATATTTAGATCAAAGGTCAAGGTCAAATTTGAAATATTTCACTGATAGATATTTTGTTATGACATTATGACGAATTGACATCAAATTAGAAATAGCTAGTAGATTCCTAACATTTGGCAATACCGGACTTAATATCATTATACAAATAAATGACATATTTATGATATAGTCTGTGTTCTTCTCAGGAGCTCCACTTGTAAACAGTTTCAAAATGCTTTGTTTTGTGTAGTAAAGTTTGTGTCCTTTATAAGGGACATGGATGTAATCAACTCTGAACTGAGTAAACAAAGGAAGATTCTCTCCAATCGGTGTCCTTGGAGAGGCCATGTTGGTGTATATTTCCATTGTTAACTGAAATTGATTTTTGTTGACAATGAAACATTTCTTGGTGGTGCCAATGCTTCAGTGGTCAATAACTTTCCAACCAGTCTGCTGAACTGGTAGATCAGGATTATATTCACCAAAGCACATGGTTACTAAATATGTAGGATAGAAGTCTCAACATCAGTTAGTACACTACAAACAGTAATAAGGCTATCAATTATGTTAGTTTACAAGTTTGAAACAAGTTCTATATCAATTGGCATTAACCATTATTGTTAATCTGAATAGAAGCAAGGTATTTAGAGGGAATAACTCAAAGAAAACCCATGTGATTAGGTAGGGGCCCCATTCTTTGAAAGTGGGGGTCCCAAACTGTAGATATTCATTTCAAAGGGGTTTATTGTTTCTGTTTTTTTTGAGGTTTGAACAAAATACCAAATAAAAGTATTTTGAAAACAAAAGAGTGAAAACAAACCAAAGTTATAAAAAGAATGAAAACAAACCAAAGTTATAAAAAGAGTGAAAACAAACTGAACTTTTAGAAGAATGAAAACAAACCAAAGTTATAAAAAGAGTGAAAACAAACTGAACTTTTAGAAGAATGAAAACAAACCAAAGTTATAAAAAGAGTGAAAACAAACCAAAGTTATAAAAAGAGTGAAAACAAACTGAACTTTTAGAAGAATGAAAACAAACCAGAGTTATAAAAAGAGTGAAAACAAACCAAAGTTATAAAAAGAGTGAAAACAAACCAAAGTTATAAAAAGAGTGAAAACAAACTGAACTTTTAGAAGAATGAAAACAAACCAGAGTTATAAAAAGAGTGAAAACAAACCAAAGTTATAAAAAGAGTGAAAACAAACTGAACTTTTAGAAGAATGAAAACAAACCAAAGTTATAAAAAGAGTGAATACCAACCAAAGTTTGTTTCTTGCTTCAAAATTTTCACAAATCTGTGGAAAATTTGAAGCAGTGAATAAAGCACCCTTTAATTTGCGGCATGTTTTCACATCCTTAATTGGGATTCTGTCTTTCCATGTTAGACAATAGGTTTTCGTATGTCGTTGATACAGGGGATTATTAGAGAAAATCTGTAATACTTATCAACGTTGATAGAGTAACTTTAGCAGTAAATGATTATTAAATATTGACAAAAAATTAATATCTATTAATACTAGGTACAGGTGTCTGTGATGACCTCACATTAAAACTTATATATCTATATTGTTGACTGTATAATGTTATCATGTACATCAGGTTCCTATGACGACCTCACATTAAAATTTATATTTTCAGGCTATATCCAGGGCAATAATGCAGATGATGAGAACAAAATCCTAGAGGACCTGAGTCCAGCCTCCGACACATTTAGAGATAACCGCCAGCTCGTCACCGAGATGCGTAGGTTTTCTAGAATGCTGTTTTGTTAAAAGGCAATTCCCACTGGCAAATCAATAAGTCATTGATGTTGTACTAATGGGAGAAATTGTGACAAATCACAAGTTATCTTTGTGTGCTGTGTCGTAATTAGGACACAATCAGGGTCCACTCACAGCTAATCAAGGGCTCTTTACTTTCCATTACATGTCCAAACACTTATTATACACCTGTGTCCCCGATCAGCTCAATTTTCAAGACAAATTCTCCATATCACTGTTGTATTTTCTACTATACACCTGTCTCCCATATCAACCAAATTTGCAAGACAAATTCTCTGTATCACTGTTGTGTTTTCTGCAAAACACCTGTCTCAAAATCAGCCCAATTTTCAAGACAAATTCCCTGTATCACTATTATCTGCTGTACATCTGTGTCAGCTCAGTCTTAGAAGTCAGATTCCTAAGCCTCTGTTCATATTACTGGAAACACAACAATTTTCTCTCATCCTGGAATTTTTTTCCATTTTTTACTAGTGTTCTACAAGCAATTATTATTCTGTAATTTACCTTGCTTTAGAATCAATATTGTTATTTGTTTGAATTAATATTTAAATTTTTTAATTTTTTGACTTCAATCTTTTGGTTTTAGACAAGGAAAAATGAATTAACTTTGTTAGGTATCTTTTTCAATGTATTTATTTTGAAAGTTGACAGTGATGTGTTTTACAATACATTGCTGCAATTGACATGTCTACAAAGACCCATTGTGGGGTTTTAAGACTTCCACAGCCCTTTGGCATTCCCAGCATACAGCCAGACAAATGCTGGCAGTTCTATACACCAGCTACAAAGTCCTTTAGCTTGAGATATGTATAATAAATGACTTCATTTTCAATAGATAGAATTGTCTAACAGTATCCTTATTTTACTCTGAATTAACAAGGTGTAGCCCTGAAGAAGGACACCTGTATGTCTGATCAATCCATGACAATGAGGGTTAGTTTTTGTAGTTGAACATGGTACCCCTATCTAAAATGGCAATAATTCACCGTAATGAGGTCTTTTTAGAGTGAGAATGAAATTAGCACATTGTCACTATGTCTACTTAAAATTTTGCCAATTCTTTTAAATGGAGAAAAAGCTATAGTTAACATGGAATTTATTTCTCCATGCATGCTGTAGGACCCTGACCTCTCTGTCTAAATTCATTACTCTGTGTTTACATATATGCTGCATCTTCAATGCATTAAGAGAAGTTTTCCCTGCAATAAACCTAAACCTCCTTGGGGTAAGAAGGGGAAGGAAAACATTTTTTGTTGGTTTTCTCTTTCTGTCTGTCTGTCTGTCTGTTCGTCCGTCCGTCCAGGCGTCTAGGCGTCCGTCCGTCCATTGTACTGTTTTTCTTCTTACCCTGTCAAAAAAAATTGACATTTGATAGGGTAAGAAGAAAAACAATTTTGCTTTAATATGCAATAAATTCAATTGGGAATGGAGCCTATAATTAGTCTGACAGAGCCCCTAGAAAAAGCCTGAACAGTACTTACTGTTTACATACTGTGGACAGGTCCAGTTTTAGCAGAATTGGTCAAATACTAAAGGTCATTGGTACCAAATATCATTTATCAAGTCTGATCATGGCAATCTGAATAAAAAATTTCATGTTTTCACTTCCCCACTAATGGGCCTATCATTCGATTATCATGTTTTCACTCTTGCCACTAATGGGCCTATCATTTGATTATCATGTTTTCACTTCCCCACTAAAGGGCCTATCATTCGATCATCATTTTTCACTCTTGCCACTAAAGGGCCTATCATTTGATCATGTTTTCACTTCGCCACTAAAGGGCCTATCATTTGATTATCATGTTTTCACTGTTGCCACTAAAGGGCCTATCATTTGATTATCATGTTTTCACTGTTGCCACTAAAGGGCCTATCATTTGATTATCATGTTTTCACTTCCCCACTAAAGGGCCTATCATACGATCATCATGTTTTCACTTCCCCACTAATGGGCCTATCATTTGATTATCATGTTTTCACTTTGCCACTAAAGGGCCTATCATTTGATTATCATGTTTTCACTTCCCCACTAAAGGGCCTATCATTCTATCATCATGTTTTCACTCTTGCCACTAAAGGGCCTATCATTCGATCATCATGTTTTCACTTCCCCACTAAAGGGCCTATCATTCGATCATCATGTTTTCACTCTTGCCACTAAAGGGCCTATCATTCGATCATCATGTTTTCACTTTTATCATTCGATCATTCGATCATTCTATCTTGCCACTAAAGGGCCTATCATTCTATCATCATGTTTTCACTTCCCCACTAAAGGGCCTATCATTCGATCATCATGTTTTCACTTCCCCACTAAAGGGCCTTTCCTTCTATCATCATGTTTTCACTCTTGCCACTAAAGGGCCTATCATTCGATCATGTTTTCACTTCCCCACTAAAGGGCCTATCATTCTATCATCATGTTTTCACTTCCCCACTAAAGGGCCTATCATTCGATCATCATGTTTTCACTCTTGCCACTAAAGGGCCTATCATTCGATCATGTTTTCACTCTTGCCACTAAAGGGCCTATCATTCGATCATCATGTTTTCACTTCCCCACTAAAGGGCCTATCATTCGATCATCATGTTTTCACTCTTGCCACTAAAGGGCCTACATTTGAAAGGGCCTATCATTCGATCATCATGTTTTCACTGTTGCCACTAAAGGGCCTATCATTTGATTATCATGTTTTCACTTCCCCACTAAAGGGCTTATCATTTGATCATCATGTTTTCACTCTTGCCACTAAAGGGCCTATCATTCGATCATCATGTTTTCACTCTTGCCACTAAAGGGCCTATCATTCTATCATCATGTTTTCACTTCCCCACTAAAGGGCCTATCATTCTATCATCATGTTTTCACTTCCCCACTAAAGGGCCTATCATTTGATCATCATGTTTTCACTTCCCCACTAAAGGGCCTATCATTCTATCATCATGTTTTCACTCTTGCCACTAAAGGGCCTATCATTCAATCATCATGTTTTCACTCTTGCCACTAAAGGGCCTATCATTCTATCATCATGTTTTCACTCTTGCCACTAAAGGGCCTATCATTCGATCACCATGTATTCACTTCCCCACTAAAGGGCCTATCATTTGATCATCATGTTTTCACTCTTGCCACTAAAGGGCCTATCATTCGATCATCATGTTTTCACTCTTGCCACTAAAGGGCCTATCATTCGATCATCATGTTTTCACTCTTGCCACTAAAGGGCCTATCATTCGATCATCATGTCTTCACTCTTGCCACTAAAGGGCCTATCATTTGATCATCATGTTTTCACTTCCCCACTAAAGGGCTTATCATTCTATCATCATGTTTTCACTTCCCCACTAAAGGGCCTATCATTCTATCATCATGTTTTCACTTCCCCACTAAAGGGCCTATCATTTGATCATCATGTTTTCACTTCCCCACTAAAGGGCCTATCATTCTATCATCATGTTTTCACTTCCCCACTAAAGGGCCTATCATTCTATTATCATGTTTTCACTCTTGCCACTAAAGGGCCTATCATTCGATCATCATGTTTTCACTCTTGCCACTAAAGGGCCTATCATTCGATCGTCATGTTTTCACTCTTGCCACTAAAGGGCCTATCATTCGATCATCATGTTTTCACTCTTGCCACTAAAGGGCCTATCATTCGATCATCATGTTTTCACTCTTGCCACTAAAGGGCTTATCATTCGATCATGTTTTCACTCTTGCCACTAAAGGGCCTATCATTTGATTATCATGTTTTCACTTCCCCACTAAAGGGCCTATCATTCTATCATCATGTTTTCACTCTTGCCACTAAAGGGCCTATCATTCGATCATCATGTTTTCACTCTTGCCACTAAAGGGCCTATCATTCAATCGTCATGTTTTCACTCTTGCCACTAAAGGGCCTATCATTCGATCGTCATGTTTTCACTCTTGCCACTAAAGGGCCTATCATTCGATCATCATGTTTTCACTCTTGCCACTAAAGGGCCTATCATTTGATCATCATGTTTTCACTCTTGCCACTAAAGGGCCTATCATTTGATCATCATGTTTTCACTTCCCCACCTATCAATCATCATGTTTTCACTTCCCCACTAAAGGGCCTATCATTCGATCATCATGTTTTCACTTCCCCACTAAAGGGCCTATCATTCGATCATCATGTTTTCACTTCCCCACTAAAGGGCCTATCATTTGATCATCATGTTTTCACTCTTGCCACTAAAGGGCCTATCATTTGATCATCATGTTTTCACTTCCCCACTAAAGGGCCTATCATTTGATCATCATGTTTTCACTTCCCCACTAAAGGGCCTATCATTCGATCATCATGTTTTCACTTCCCCACTAAAGGGCCTATCATTTGATCATCATGTTTTTCACCAATATTATGTGATATAGATAATGATACAGTATAACAGCTACTGACCACATCTCTCTGATACCTTGAATATCGATGAAGTAACCTAAACGTTACCTGAAGTTATGGGCTGGACCTGTTGTAAGTCTTATTCATTTCTTCTAGTTTATTGTATACAGTGGTAAGGATTCTTAGAGGTATTTGATTGTTAACTGATTTTTTTTTTCATTGTTTCAGGAGGCCATAACTTTGATGTCATCCGTTTTGCAACATATAGAACTGCCTGCAAACTTCGCTTTGTCCAGAAGAAAACTAACTGTAGGTTTTACTTTGACTAACAACAATTTCTCAGATGATTAAGATGTTATAGTGTTGTATGAAGTCACATATCCAAAACTGTGGTCCTGCACCAGGTGATAGCCCGTAAAGAGCAAAATTATCCCATTTATAATAACCATTGATATAAAAATTACTTGGGCTGTATTGCTCATAGTCTTGGAAAATGAATTGTTTGCTTGTTAGGTTATTGCCCTTGAACAGCCATGGCCATTTTAGGCGACTCCTTGGAGTTGACGGTGACTGAATGTTTGAGGCCCACTTCAAGCTGTCAGTTATTGGGGTGTTTTGAGGTAGGACACAACCACAGTCCGAGAGTAATCTTGGTCTATGAAGAACACAAACCACTCTGAGAAAGGATCATCACATAATATATTTCAGATCTCCCTTAGGGGCTCCATATGTCTGGTATTCTTTAAGGTTAAACAAACTTTATTTAACTTATTTTGCTGTTGTTATTTCAGTTTATACTAATCACCCTTGTTGGCCTGATGTTAGCGGCAAGGGGTCTTATTGTGGGAGGCAACTGGGGTACCTAGGGAAGACCCATGTGGTCAGGCATGTGATCCCTTCCCACATCAAGTCCATTCAGGGTCTAATGTTCTAACTGACTGACCTATCACAGCCCCATAAGTTTGGTTACAATGTAAACATGTATATGATGAGTACGGAATTGTTTTGATATTTTACAGTATCTCGACACATGATTACATTAATTTTCAATATTATTTATCAGTATGAATTTATTGTTTTTCCTGGCTGACTGGCTGAAACACAAGATTCTTGTGCAATTTGATGATGTTTGTAGCATGCGTCAAATTTCTATTCTTGATTTATAATACAGGGGTGTTATTTTCACTAGTTAGATATTCACATATTTTTAGATCATTAGATTTTAATTCATGGAAATCTACTTTTCCCATTTTTGTGTGAAAATTACAAAATTGTCTTCCTGAAAAACAGTTAGCTTCAGGTACAAAATCTTGGTTCTTACTTTGATGTTGGAAATCTTTCTGTGTGTTATAAAAAAAAAACAAAATAAAAATCTGTTAATAATAGATTTTAGAATATCCACGGGAAGTTTAGAAAAGGACAAACCACAAATTTTAATGTGAAGAGAAAATTATGTGTGAATTCTGAATGATCGTAACCGGTCGTCAGTGATTTTATGATCTGTTGAGAACAATACAGCCTCCATTTCTCATGGTGATGAGACGATGGTTAGTTGGAGTTTTAGTGCTCATCTAAGAGCAGTTAAAATGGGGTTGGACAATGTTTCATGGGAAACAAGATGATTCGATTTTCTCGGGTTATGTCATTGTCATTTTGTACTGACTTAATGATAACTATACAATAAACTATCTTTTGTGTCTTGATGAAAATATCGTAAAAATTTACAAAAAATTCATATATATCACTTTAACTTTGGTTTTTTTATTGTGAACTTATGTTTAATTTCTTTCATTGATTGACGTTTGATTGTTTTGTTTGATATACCAAAAGTCAAGCATCTAATATTGATGGATTCATGTTAAAAGATTAGGTAATTAAATTGATAACATCAAGGACAAAAGACAAGTCATCTAAACATAGATTTGAGTTTATAGATTGCAGTGCTTGTAAGACAATATATATATATCTTGTGTGTATAGTAGACACCAATGATGTAATCGCCAGGACGACAAATTCACTAATCAATACTTAAGTTTTAAAACAAAGAAATCTGAATACTGTTACAAACCTCTCGAGAAGTGGTGTGTCAGTCACTTTTATCGTCACTCATTTAACTCATCATGACATAAGCCGTAATTCAGCAATCAACACAAGGTGTCGGTAACTGTCAATTAAATCTTCACGTGGTCAAATAAATGGACATTGATTGTTAAATATCAAGATAGTCTTGGTACAGATGTGTCATGTGTTGCTGAAAACATTATCTGATAATTGAGTAAAAGTTGTCATAAAAAGTATTGGATGGATAATAAGATTGATACGTTAAAACAGATTAGAGCTGTATGGTTACCGGATGAGTGTGATGTTCTGATAACACCAGGCAGAGAACGTGTGTGACAAGGTCTTACACTGCAGTTATCATCAGTATGGCAGTGTGTATCAGTTTTTAGCTGTCAGAGGGGATGGTCGTATCACAATTTTCAGTCCTGTTCGACCAGAACTATCAGACATATTATTTAGTTCCCTTGGGTGGAAGAATGTACAGACAAATTGTCCTGCAAATCTGTTAGGCAGCTGTCAAATCCTGGAATGAAATATGCAGTGTACAACATGCATCATTAGTGGAGAAGACAGAATGCAGGAGGATGAAAGGGAGGGGGAGAGTCTTAATGAATCAGATTGGGGTTGGGGTAGAGGGGATAACAGCCTCAGGCCACATCTGATATCATGTAATTGTCCTTGGTGTTTCAGAATGTTACTGTTTAGCATTTCAACAATGTTCCATTTTGTCTTAGATGTTCAAATTGGGAAGTAGATGTAGATGCACAAGGTGCCTTGTTACATGAGGGGCATTTTGACTGCCATGTTATTCTGTAGAGAGGGGTATGCTTTACTTCTTCAGTCTCCCACCATTTTCCATGTGTGTTAATTAATGGTCCTTTCTACAGAGCGTTGTGATCTGGAGAAGAATGACGGTTGTCGGTGGCTTGCCATCACTACACTGTTAATCACAATCAATAGCCTTTCTATTTTATAGGAGGCTTTATTGGGCTATGACCTGCTGCAATGGAGGTGTTAAGATTTGGTGATCCAGATATCCGTTCTTTTAGTACCGTAATACAATGACGATGGAAGCGATTGACACATGACAGTTTGACTGAGGGAGGGAGAAAAGGCAATGAAAATCTACTTCCAATTTCACTCCCAAGGGATAAAGATTTCCTAAACCCTTCAGATTTTTTACCATTAACTGTTTTGTCAATAAAACATTTAACGCTTGTCATTAAAATGGTTAGGAGTTTCACCACTTAGCTTGCAGCACGTGTACAATACCTGCTTCAGTGTATAGGCACACTTGACCTGGTGTTTCCTGCCACAATTCTAGCATTCAAACATCAATCACGTCACAATTATGTGGAACATCACACTGCAATGATCTTTCCTAACAACATTTTTACTGCGGACATAACTTTAGATGTTCATCAGTGTTGAAAATGGACAAAACTTGTACAGATGTGTGTCTAACTATTATATAAATTGAGACAACACAATATATCATTGTTGTATGTAGTATTTTCTTTCAATCGATTTGATTATTTTTGAAATGCTATTAAGAACATGAGCTTTAGGGATTGGTTTTTGTAACTTTTGAAAGTAATGAACAAAACTGAAAGAAACAGCATCTCTGTCGTTTCTACCTGTGTAATACTGGTCTGTCCAGGCCAATACACCCTGGTTCACTGTTCTTGAATGACACACCCACCCGTGCAATACATGCATGTATGCATAGAAATGTGACGTGTCCCTTCCCAACTGACATCATCGCCAGATACAATGTATACACATTGGTGTACAAATAGTTATTTGCAGTGACTGAGGCAAACTCTGTTTGACAAATTGAGGTACAGAGAATCAATATTTTCTATGTCATTTTGTCAATTAATGCATAACAAAAAATAAGATTTTTAGGTTATCTGACCCAAAGGGTCAAGATGAGCTATAGCCATTATGTTTTTCCGTCATCCTGCACAGTGTGTCATGCCTAAACTTTTTCGTTAAAACCCTACGCCTCTTTCATACCGGGATGGATTTCAACCAAATTTGGTCTGATGCATCATTTGGTTAGGGTAATCATTTCTTAAATTCAGAATTTCATTTCAGTAATAATTACCATAACTTTAGTATGCAAATACAGTACCTACACCCATCTTTGTATCCCAACAACAAAAGATTCAAAAGAAAAACAATCCCGCCCTCCCTACGATCCATGAGCCATCACGGCAGGAACGCAGAGTGATCTCCCTTCCTCTTACCTTTATGGCTGCCGACGAGTGCGGAGGTGTCTGAGCTAAGTGCTTTTCTTACTCCTTCTCTTCGTACTGCCATTGTCGTTTGAGTATATTGTTACTCTATTAGTAGTCTATAAACCCATCTCCCAACTTATATTGTGAAATTAAGTATTGTCATTTGTTTATTTTGACCGTATTTCCGGCCGTTTTTTCCTCCACGTATTCGAGTGCGTGACTACTTGTCTCGTTGCTCGGAATTGCGTGAAGTTGGAATTTGTTTTCTTGCTGCTTTGTCGGCCGTTTTGTACGGCCGTTTTATTTATGCAGTGCAATCTTGCTGCGTACGGTAGGCTTTGTGCTCTCGTTCGTAGTTTTTTGATTGTTCGAGAACTTCGTTTCCGGCCGTGTTTTTCCTCCGCGTGTTCGAGTGAGTGACTACTTGTCTCGTCACTCGGATTTTTGTGAAGTTGAAATTGTTTTCTTGCTGCTTTGTCGGCCGTTTTGTACGACCGTTTTCTTTTTTTTGCAGTACAATCTTGCTGCGTACGGTAGGTTTTATGATATCGTTCGTAGTTTTTTGATTGTTAGAAAACTTTTTTTATCCTTGTTTTCATTGTTACAATTTTTTATTGTTTCGATGCTGGATAAAGGTGCCGGGTTTACGTCGGGGGTCAGCGCATGGATGTTCCTATTTCTATAGATAATGGGAACCCCATGATACCTGTCCCATTTGCCGACATTACAGCCAGACCTCACTATGTGAACTTTGTTTGCACATGGAGTCTGCTGCTTAGGCTCCCATGCCTTTCCAGCTAACTTTCCGCCGGAAGAGGGATTCGTCCTCTTCTTCCGGTAAGGGAAGTAAGCTTTTTAAGACCTCCCTCCTGAAGTTCTGAACCAGAGCGTTCCTGCTGGGGGTGCTCTCGTTCCACCGAGCTCCGCCCTTCAGCAGGGGGTGGCTCCCCCTGTCCAGGTGCGTCCTGGAGTAGGGGGGGGGGGGGGGCAGCCCGACCCTGACTC